ATTTGGGTCTTTTAAAAATTTAGGTCACTATTAGCACAAGGCTGCTTGTGTCACATTTAAGTGGTATCCGCCACTATGAGAAGGATATTTCTAAAGTCAAAGAAGAAAAAGAAAAGGCCAACAGAAAAGCCGCAAGAACAGCAGCTTCTGCAGCAAAAGAGAAAGAAAACAAAGAGACTGAAAAGAGGGACTTGATTAAAGGCAAGCCGGAACAGGAAGGCAAAAATTCAAAAAGTGGAAGAAAGAAAAGGGAGTTTGAGCATGAAGAATATTATTTGAAGGACAAATTTGAGCATGTGATTGACTCACTGAATATCTTTCAAAATGATCCTTTATTCTTTAAACCAGGTGAGTTGCTAATCTTCATCCATCCAGACTGTAGATAATGGAGTCAATTCACCCTTTGTGCTAAGCCACAGAGTAGTTTGTTTGGTGCATGGTTATTTAGTAAACCATATTTAAGCAAACCATTGCTTAGTGGGATTTGTCTAGCCAGTCGGGGCTCAGCTAGCTAAACTATGATGTGACCCCATATAAGAGCCGTGTCTTGTTTTCTTACAAGAAGTTAAACTACGAATAAAAATAGTAGAAATTTAGGTAGCAAATTAAATGTGAAAGACAGAGAAAGCATCTTATTTATGTTGACTTTTAATACAGTAGCCCTATACTTTTAACTATTACAAAATTTGACCTTGTAAACTTTTCAAAGTATACAAAAATATGCTTTCTCTTTGAACAGGTAGATCCCTTCTTGAGCAAACTTAGAATACAGACCCTGACTAAGCTTCCATAACATAAACTCTTGTGTGAAATGGGCCTGTCTTCTCTTTTCTTTCCTTCAAGGTAGTCAGTTTTTGTATTCGACCCACGGGTTTACTCTCCTGAGCGCTGTCGTGGAGAGAGCTTCAAATCAGAAGTTCACAGACTACATGCTGAAAATATTTAGTGACTTGGGTATGGGATCCACGGGGCTGGATGAGAATGAGCCTCTGATATACAACAGAGCAAGGTAAATGGTCAGGCAGGGACATCGGCACGCCTGTTCCCGTCTTTGCGCACTTCTCTAAACTGAATAGTGAGCCTTGTTCCGCGTGGCCCATTGCAAGAACTGATGTGTGTAAAAAGAGGAACGGAATGTGCTCGAGCTTCCTTTTGCTTCCTACGTTGAATTTAGTAGTTTGAAAAGGACAGCTACTCACATAAGTCAGACATTTGGAGATTTGGAGTTAAACTGAGTCCCTCGGAACGATTCTCAAACAGGCCATGGGTATAAATGGAAATAAATCTCACTGTTTCAGGGAAGAAATCCCGTAACACCAGAGAGCACTGCCCTCTTGTGGCTCTCTTGTCTGTTCCCCCAATCAACTGCAGGGAAAAGAGGACAAGAGAGGGAAAGTGAAACCCAATAGATCATTGAAACCCAAACTCTCTCATCCTGAGGTTTTCATCCCAGATCTTCATGGTGTTGGTCCTCTGTTTAATTCATGAGGCCTACCTTCCGGCTGTTTTGCAAGAGGGTGGAGCTCATCTGATATGGAGCTCATGTTCCAGCATTCCTCTGACTGGCATGTTGTTTCCTGGGGCTGTTTGTTTGTTTGTTTGTTTTTTGGTCTTTTTTCTACTTTTGATGAAGGTAGCCTTGGGGTGGGCTTTCTCCTATTATGGACCTGATGTCTTTCAAGATTACATTGTTAGGATGGCTTTTCTCTACCTAGCAGAGATTGACCAGAGCATTAGAATGCTGCTTATTAACTGGGCAGCACTTCGCTGTTTAATATAATTTATTTGATCGCTAGTGGCCTTATGTCAATCTCTACACCTCAAAAAGAATAAAATGGGAGAAGGCTACTTTGGCCTAGCAAATATATGGATTATTTAGGTACTTTATATTGTGAATTTATCAAGCATCCTTGTTTCACTCCAGGTATTACATTCACAACAAAAAAGGTCATGTCATCAACGCCCCTTACGTGGATAACTCTTACAAGTGGGCAGGTGGTGGCTTTGTGTCCACTGTGGGCGATCTTCTCAGATTTGGAAATGCCATGCTCTACAGTTACCAGCTTGGGCAGGTAAAAAACCCAGGTCCTGGATTTCTTCCTGGTTATCTCAAGCCTGACACGATAGCAATGATGTGGACCACAGTCCCACAGTCCCAAGATTATGCCTATGGAATGGCCTGGTTCATTGTAGAGAAGAAGCAGGAATGTGGCCACTGCAAAGAGCAGCAACACTACACCTTCCACACTGGCGGGGCAGTAGGAGCAAGTAGCGTTCTACTCATTCTTCCTGAAGAATTGAACTCTGGGATTGCCAATAGTAGCTGCCTGGTCCCACCTCATGGTGTGGTGATCACAGTTATTTGTAACATGCAGTCTGTTCACCTTGATGGTATTGCCTTAAAAATTGCAAAGGAATTTGAAAAGGACAGGTTAGTACAACGCTCTGATCAAAGGTTAGAGAGGAAATGTGGAAGGCTTGAGTGATTACAAGCATCTGTAGTCCAGGAGCTGTCTCTCCCTTGCTTTTTAAGCAGATAGCATCATTCATGGGACAAGCAATCCTTCATTGAAGGAACAGGAATGTACAGTTTTTCTGATTCAAATAGCCAAAGACATTAGCCAAATGCAGGTACCAATTGGACGATTCACCTTCTCTTACTTTTCTGCAAATTGTGATGCACAGAATGTGGAGCAGAGAGTCTTCAATTTCAGAATGGGGATGGAAAGTTTTACACCACAGTGAAGACTCTTGGAGAATTGCAGTCATGGACACAGAGAGCATCTCATCTGGCAGGATTTTAGTCCTGCTGTGTCTCCATGGGCCTTTGCAAGGGTGATCCAATGTAGAAGACAGCTTCAACCAAACAGTGAATCCTTTCCCTCATGGCTGGGGCAGTTACCGACGGAGGCTACTCTAGCAATACACATAATTGATGCAGAAAATCACATTGCCAATACCATGGAATCATTTGTCCATGATCAAGCCTTGGATCAGGTGCTAGCATTACAATTGTGCTTGGTGGGCTACTGTTTTATTATTAACCTGCTGCCAACCTGGGCAGCAGATTGCCATTACTCTATGTGACTATCTAATATTTGATTCCCTTTTCTCAAAAACGAAAGATGAAAATGAGTGTCTTAAAACTTTTCAGTGCTGTTTACAAAGGCTGCAATTTTATATGTGTTAAGCTCTGTTAAGTAAAAGGGGACTGCTGAGTGGACATGTAAATGCAAGCTAAAGACCTTTATCTGGGAATGTTTTTAGATCAAACTGCATTTTCAAATCAATATTCAAGCTGTACCTAGAAACCTCTCATACAGGTGTTGTTTCAGAAACTGTCCCAGAATGTCCCTGGAAATTTATTGCACTGTATAAATGTCCATTATACCTTCTCTGTTTTATTAAACCTGTCAACAATTTATCTGGTAGGTTAATATTTTTGGGGGAGTTAGGAAAACTAATCAGCATGCTGTTCCTGGCTGGTGAATTTTTCTCTGAGCTTTTTTTCAGCTTTTTAGTAAAGGTTGAGATCCATCCCCTTTTAAACTGTCTTTAAAAGAAGACACAACCTTGAACTTGCATAAATGTTAGATTTACAATAAAGATTCAGATAAAAATTAAAGGGATGGTGTTTAAACTCTTCAGGAACTAGTGCAGAGAAGGTAGATTTCGAAGAGGATGATCCGTTTTTCTTCTTTTCTTCCATAATGGATGGTTAATCAGAAACACATTCTATTCCGACTTTGAAATATGGAATGATCTACTAGTGTAATTAGTTTAAGTGTCAAATATTGTCCCATGTCTTGCTTTTAAAAAGCTGAACACGAATGATAGTTAAACCCCATTTGACTTGGGGGTCCACCAACTGCTTAAGCTAGCTGCTGATAATGTAAAATTGTATTTAGAATTTAGAACCTGATTACATTTGTATCCCTTAATCAATAAACACTTTATAATGTTTGCACTTTTCAATTGGCGCTATCTGTTTCTTCAACTGAATCCGCTGCTTTTCTAGCGGGGATGTAGATTACAGAATCTGGGAGACCAAATTGCTTCTTTCTTTGTAGCTACATCAGAGTAGCAAGACCAAATTACCTCTATAGGAAAAGGGAAGGTGATCCTCTGGTGTCATTAAGCACCTCACGGATTGATTCAGAAAAGGAAATATCATGCTAGGTTAATGTTTTTCATTTCAAAACGCTGATTTCCTTTGTTTTATCCATGGCACGGTCAACCTTACTTCCAGAAAACCATCTCGGACCCAGATGAGAAAGCAGCTTGATCCTAAGAGAAAATTTAAGATGTGCCGAATTCATGCTCAGTAGGAGAAGAAACTCATCCCTCAGATTGTTCTACATCAGAAATACCTGCTTCTCAAAGGGAACCTTGTTTAGCACTGGTTCCGCAGGCAGTTCTTCTGTACTTCGCTGAAATAAATGGTCTTTGCAGTAAGTCAAACCCTCTTCCTCGCTGGTTACTCGTTGCAAAAGGAGCTGGCCCAGCAGATGTTCCCAGGGGTGACGGAGCCAAAGACTAGAACTGGCAAAACGGCCGTGCAACGCTGTCGCGCTCGCTCCAGTTTCTTCAGGGCAATTGGTGAAGATGGGAAAGCGGAGGGGGCGCGTCAGTGGGGCAACTGCTGGACGTGCGTTGTGTCATCAAATCATAGAAACAAAGGCTACCTATCGCTAAGCACATGCACCGGTGCAGGCGAGGGGCCCGCCCAAGATTATAACGAGGCTTCTCGGGTAACGCCCGGCTGGCCGGATCCAGGCACCTGCAGCCAGGCCAGAGTCGGGCCCCGCGTTCAGAAGCCGGGCCCGCCCCTCTTGCGAAACAGCCCGTCCCTTAGGGAGCCTGCCTCTCGGGCGTGGCGCATGCGCAGCGCGGACCTGGGGGAGCCGCCTCGGACCACAATTCCCGTCATCCCACGGAAGCCGCCGCGTCCTGGCGCGCGCGTCCCGGCCCCGCCCAGCGCTGGCGCTCGCCCCCCCCCGCCCGCCCGTCAGTCGGCGGCGAAGATGGCGAAGACCTACGACTACCTCTTCAAGCTGCTGCTGATCGGCGACTCGGGCGTGGGCAAGACGTGCCTGCTCTTCCGCTTCAGCGAGGACGCCTTCAACACCACCTTCATCTCCACTATCGGTGAGCGGCGCCGGGCGGCTTCCACCCTCCCCTCCGCCGCCGCCCGCGGGGGACTCCAACTCCCATGGCGCGCGGGCGGCCCTCCCTCCCTCCCTCCCTCTCCGCCCCCCCGCCCCGTTTCCGCTGCCCGGGAGCCTCCCCTGTGCAGCGGCCCCGTCCTGGGAGGGGGCCCGCGTAGCCCCCCCGCTTTCTTTCCCCGTGGGCGCTCCCCGCGGGGCCCGAAGGGTGGCCCAGTCCTGCTGCCCCCCCGGAAAGGGGCTGGGGGCTCCTGCCAGCCCCCGTGGCCTCCCTGGTGGCCTGTCTGGGCCGGAGGGGCACCTCTGCCCGGGTGGGGCCCGCCCCTTTGGCCCTTGGCAGGCGGTGCCCCGCCCCCACTTTGGGTCCGGCCTGGCCAGTTGAAAGCAGGGGGGCTTTGGGGAGGGGTAGCGCAGACTGGCCCCCCCTCCTTCTGAGGGGTCTCCCCCTGGTAGCGTTATCTTTGGCCAGAGCCTCTCCTAGGGAGGCTGCTTAGGGCTGCGGGCGGGGGTTCCCCCCGGGTGGGCTTATCTTGCAGCCCGTGGAAGGGCCTCGTCCTGCCAGCACCCCCTCCTCTTTGGGGGGGCTACAGAAAGATGATGGTGACAAGGCGGGGGAGGAGCGGGGAGCCACCATCTGAATTGCAAGCCACGGCCGCACTTTCCACATTTGGTTCCTAAAGTAACAGTTTTCAAAAAGCAATCGTTTATTAATCTGTTAATGCGCAGCAATAACTATCCCGGTGCCACCTTTGGTGCAATAACACAGAGTCAAAAAAGCATTTTAACTGCCGTGGTGAAAGGGAGAGCATTTTCGTGACCAGGGGTAATGATTACTATATGTGATAAGAGTAGAAACACCCTTGATGAATCTTTGAACTGCCTGTGTGACCTAGTTGCAATTTGTACTGTTTGTTTGATAAAGTAGAATGTTTTTCTTCTTTTCCGAGATAACCAGTTTTTATTGCTCAAGATTTTTATATACAGATTTTACAACTTTGGTCTTCAGTTCTTGTTTTTACTTATTTCCCATAATTGTATTGAGCCACCTAGCAGTAGAAGCCATTGGCCACTTGGTGCCCTGTAGATCTTTTTTGCTATGGTCTCAAATAATATATCATTGGGGTGCTGCCTTGGGCCTACCAGGGCTAAAACCCAAAAAGCATTGGAAAGTAACATTTGAAAGCACAGTCTTGGCAGAATCATTTTACTTCACTGATCCAGAATTTGTTTTGGGGAGTTTATTGTTTTGGTTTACTTGAGCAATTTCGGTGTGCCTGTCATTCATTTCAATCCAAATAGTGAACAGCAGATGTACTCAAGGGTGATCTTCCTGAAAGGATGACATAGCCTGATTCTATAGCCAAAGCAGCAACAGAGAGGGATAAAACATGACACTCAAGGCAATAGGTCCAACTGACTGAGAACTATTTCAGAAACTTCTGAAAGTGAACTTGATCTTTGTGCCAAGTAGTTCAGCTCCCCTATTGACTGGGTTCTCGTGTTGCACTCAGAAACACTGGAGAAGAAGGTGGTTCTGTGTTTTGACTTGGTCTGTAGCAGGGAACACAGGGCTCCAGAGCAAAACCTGTCCCAGCCTCGCCTAGCTCTGAGCTACACCACCGGTTGACCCCAAAAGAAGACCCTGGGTGGGGGGAAGTCCCCAACATGGCCGCTGCCATTTTTGCTTCCTCAGAGCATGGTGGCCTCCCCAAAGGCTGGCCTGAACTTCTCATCAAACATGAAGGAGAACAGTTGGCTCAAGGAAAGGATTGGTTCTTGCTGAAATGTCACAGGGCTGTAGCGCTGAATGCTGAGTGTCCAGAAATTATCAGGAAATGAAAGGACTTACAAGAAAAATTGCTCAGACTGGATGTTGAAGGGCGTTAAGCATGAATTCTTTTAGTAACCAGTCTTGAGCAAATGGCTTCATGTTCTCTGATATTTTGTGGGTTTTTTAGCTTTCCTGGCATATTGTTCTGCTAAGGATATAGATAGAATATCAGCATGTGAACCTTCTAAATGCTGTTGCTGTTGCTGTGTGCCATGGAAGAAAATGTTAATTATTCAGTTAATGTGAATGGAGTTCCTGTGTGGTGAAACCTTGTGTTCTAGCCTCTCTTCCTGTTGAATTAAATGAGTCCCTCACGCCACAAGCGCTCTGCATTCTTTAACAAATCAAGTAAGATTTTTTTCTTTAATTTGGGGTGTGTACATTGTCCAAATATATTGAGTATTGTATTTTAAAATATCTCAGGCTGGCGGGGGAATTCTGGGAAATGGAGTTCACACATCTTAAAATTGCCAAGGTTGGACACCTCTGGTCTAAAGTATTCCATAGTCAACTGAATGGGTTACTGTGCTATTAAACTCTGAGACATTTCCTTGAAGTCGGTTTCTTCCGAGGGGCTGTGATTCGTATTTATTTTGGTTGAAAGAAGAGGAACCTTAGGCAGAGACAGGATGCACAGGAAAAGCCCTTTGTTCCTTCACAACTTCGCTAGAAGCTTCTGATCCTCCTTATGATGAAAAATCTATCATTTGTTGCTGGAAGACATTTTGAAAAGCCTCGGCTGCTCTATAGGCGTGGTGTGGTTCTTATTCTTCCTTTCAGGTTTCATTCTCCTGCCTTGCCATCTTTGGTGGGCCGATGACCTGCAGATGTGCTGGACTGAGTTCCCATCCCCATCAGCATCTGATGAATCCCGACCCTCATATCACTCTACATGGAACAGCTGTACTCTGCAGGCAGGATTCTACAGCTTCCTTGAGGGGAAACGCTTGCCCTTAAGGCAGTGTTTCTCAACCTTGACAATTTTAAGGCATGTGGATTTCAACTCCCAGAATTCCACAGCCAGCATTGCTGGCTGTGGAATTCTGGGACTTGAAATCCACATGCCTTAAAATTGTCAAGGTTGAGAAACACTGCCTTAAACTAATCTAAAAGGGAAGTGAAACTCGACAAGATTGCCTGCAGCTTTCTTCAGAAGCTGCTTGATCATTGCATCAACTTCTAAAAGTTGCTCTGAAGTTACCAGGCCCCCTCTTGAGATCGATAGCAGGGCTGCTTGACTGCTGCAGCCGACCCATTCAGGTCCCTGCCCACCTTGATTGATTGACTACTGTCCGATGGTGTTCTGGGAAGCACGTTCAGGTTTAGAAGAGTCTTTTCTCTCCAGGGAGCAGGCTGTTCTGTTGCTGGCGTACAGGGCTGGCTCCTTTGTGATCTGGGAGGGGTTCAGAGTCAGTGCACAAACTTGCTGACTAGGAAACAAATTTGTAATATTTACATTCTTATCCAAGATGAAATCAGGATTCAAAACAGTGTTCGTAATGCTGCTTGTGTGTTCAGAGGCCTTTTTCTCTTAGAAATGGTGCATCTGGATTTAATTTTCCATTGCCCCAATTTGCTTCAAAGGAAGGTGAAGTAACATCAGCTTCTCAGCACTCTGGAACAGGGTTTCTTAAGCTTGGCAACTGTAAGATGGGTGGACTTCGACACCCAGATGTTCCCAGCCAGCAAGGGATTCTGGGAGTTGAAGTCCACCCATCTTAAAGTTGCCAAGCTTGAGACTCTGCTGTAAAAAATGTGTGGAGAGAACAGGCCCATCTTGAGAGAGACCAAAGGATGGCAACAATATCAGTAACTGAAGCCTTGCTTTAGAACCACCAGTTTAATATTTTTCATGTGTAATTTAAATGTGGCAGCACCAAACCTTTTAATAGTGAATGAATATAGTGAGAACATAGTTGTGAACTACAGGAACAAAAGTAGCAGTCCTGAATCCAATTGAATTTTGCATGAGCTAGAACTCCATTCAGATCAATGCTAAGTTTTCAAGAGCCAAACAAGGTTTAGGACCTGGATACCCTGAAGGCGTAAGATGTACTGGGACTGGAGGAAGATGGCATCAAACCGTTTCTGTAATTTTGCCAAGAGTATAAAGCGGACTTAACCAGGAAGCAATCAAAAGGTTAACTGCGCAATGGAATTTTTAATTATTTTTGTCTCAAAGTTATTTTGCTGAACAGAGCTGGAGTACCACCTTGCCAATGAGTGCGTAAAGAACGGTGATCACTTCATGTAATAGGATCGCTGTGATCGTATTAAATGTTTTTCACTTGTGGCCATAGTGTGCGTCAGATCTGTAGTTGCTTCATGGAATTTAGAAAGTGGAAAACTGGCATAAACAGAAGCATCTCAGCTTTTGGGGGGGATTTGGGGGGATATTCTGTGTATGGGTTCAAATACCTCCTACAGAAAACAGCGGAACATAAAGCAAGTGGAGACTTGTCACCATGTTGTGACTAGAGGCTTGGAAAATATCCATACAGCTCTTCTAGATCAAATATCTGTAGTTTACATGCCTGCCTCCCTCCCTCCCTCCCGGCCACTCTGTCAGAGGTGCTTGTGGTGCCTGCAATACCAAAAAATACAATTTGGGAGGGGGGAGGAGGGGAGGACTTATTTGCAGCTGCCTATCTTGATTTTTCAGCCTATGCAGCTTAACTCGTTTTAAGAGATGCTCATCCCCTTCCTAAGAGGAGCACCCTGTTTGTATACGGTGTGTGGGGGGGGAATCAGAATGATTCTGCTATTGTGGCAACTTTTCCCAAAACACATGCCTTTTAATAAAATGTATTCCTCAGACAAGGTGCCCGCCTGCCCTGGATTTTTAGATGTGAGGCCTGGCTCAGTCTGTTGCTTCCATTGACGACTCTCCAGTAGGAGTCCTGGAGGATTTTTCCTTTCTTCCCAGCCTTCTGGCTCTGCTTTCAGGCAGAGGCTTTGACACCCTTTGCCTCCCTGTTTGACAGATGCCCAGGTGCTTCATCCCCTTTAATTGGCAGATGACAGCTGTCTTTGATTCTGCACGTGCATTTATTTGACTAAGACAAATGGCTTGTTTAAATACTCATTAACCTTTAAGAACATTAGGCCCTTGTGTTCAGTTCCAAGCCCAAACATCTGCTGTGTGGAAATTA